TATGTCTATATTACGGAGAAGAGGTATTGTAACTATTTACACTATTTGGACTGTTGGATTTACTAAAATTAGATGGTTATCCTAAAACAGGACATTGCCGACAATGAGAAGTGAGTTCTGTGTCGAATCAACAAAGGTCTGACCATCACCAAGCTAGAATTTTTTTTTTAAATTTAGTACATTTATAGAGCTCCATGATACAAATTGAATACTACCTATTTCACATCTCTAGGTCAAAGGGTTCTCAAGATATGACCCATTGACCATTGCCAATTGCCAAAAAATGAATTTTGGAAAATAGTCACAAATTTTAAATATCAATATTTCAGCTGTTTTTTCATCTACAAAGCTAAATTATATTATTAACGTACTTGGATAGATCTAAAATTTGATCTATTTTTTTTTTTTTGTTTAAAGGTCAAATATGAAAATTTGAGCTTTTCTTTTGACCTCTAATTTCTCAAAAAAATGTACCTTTTTTTTAAAAATTTGACAATAAATTTGTCTGCTTTTTGGCAAGATATGTACAAAATTTTATGGTGGACTTTTGACTGTGGCCTGAGTTACAAGGGTTTTACTGAGTTGAGTCAAATTCAAAATGGCTGATTTTGGTATTTGTCAGTATATGCTAACATTTTCAAATCTCCCAATAAGGTCATGTTGTATATCTTTAGAAATCTCTTTGAATTCTGATTAATATTCACATAAGAACTATAATCATAAAATCAATAGAATTTGTATTTTTTTGGTTAAATGTTGACCAATTCGGTGGAAAATAAGCAACCTTATTTTTGGTTTTGTTTACATTTTTATTATACAACGAATAGATTTTTATATGATGAACTTATTTTTCTTGTTGGAATACATATTTAAATAGAAAATAAAAATTTAGATATGCATACCACTTTTACACTTAAATTTTTTGTGATTACCATCTTTCAAGAAATTCCCTTTCCTAAAATATTTTAAGCTTTTTCCATCTCTATTTTTGAAAATTTATAAGTTCTTCCAGTGTCAGTTATGGAACCAACTAAACTAAGAATATCAGAATAATTTAAAATGAATATAGCTTGATGTAATGGATAACAGAAAGATGGAGGAGCCTGAACAGGAAGGCAATGTCAGAAAGAAATATCTCCTTGAAAAGATTTGAAATTTTAAAGACATTGTTTTGAAACTGCATTTCATTGAAAATGAAGAAGAAAGGGATTATCAGTGGTCAGGAATGAAGGCAAGCATTACTGATAAAATAGGGCGATTATATGTATAATGGAAATGCATTGCTAATGATTTTATTATAGGAATGCATTGAAAATGAGGAAGAAAGGGATTGTCAGTGGTCAGGAATGAAGGCAAGTATTACTGATAGAATAGAGCTATTATATGTATAATGGAAATGCATTGCTAATGATTTTAATATAGGAATGCATTGAAAAATAAAAAATATATATATATATATATATATATATATATATATATATATATATATATATATATATATATAATAATATATATTTAGGCAAATATTCATCCAAAGAAGTTTGATTAAAAAAGAAGTTAGAATTAATATCATATTAATGTTAAAAATAAAATAAATCTCATTCTTTTTGTGTGGCCTTGTTCCCAATAGTTGCTACACATGACATCATGCTCGGCCATTTTAAACTTCTAGTTTCCCAAAGAATATCAGGATATAGATAAAGAAATTATTTTTTTTTCTATATGTCAATTTTACACAGACACCATATTAGTTCTTGACAATGGCTGCAAAAGTCAAAAGTACTTGAACAAAAATAACAAAAATGTGAACTTCAGATGGTTTATCTACAACTTCAAGTACAATACTCAACACCATATCTGAAAATTGGAAAAATATAATGAAAAATTAAACACAGACCTTGTCAGTCATTTTTAATCATATTGTTTGGATATATAATGCATGAGAAAACTCCTTGGCATCTTGGGAACAGAAGACCAATGAGTTTGTATGGAAAATGGTTGAAAGTGTTGTGAGCCACTAGGTACCTCTTCTTGCCACTGTCAAATGGAGAAAAATGGCATGGTTTGGACACATTACAAGTCACAACAGCCTGTGCAAGACCATCATGCAAGGCATCAGTGAAGTTGGATGTATGAGAGGACACCAACACAAAAACTTGTTGGACAATGTCAAACAATGGTCAGGTATGACTATACCTGAAATGCTGATGGCCGCCTTTGATTGGCTGTTGTCGAGGAGATTTTTTTGTGTCTTCTGCATTCATATCCCCCCCACGATTACAAAATTCAAGGGAATGAGGAGGAGAATGATGATGAGGATATTAAAAAATGAATTTTTTCATCCAACTTTATTTCTTGTTAATGTAAATGTTATTTTTAGTAGGTACACATATTTGAGTTGTTGTTGTTTTTTTTTTTTTTGTATTTTCTTGAACAGTAAAATTGATAACAATTGTGAAGTCATATGAAAGAAAAAGTGTGTCACCGAAAGGTACCAAAATTGTATTCTCTTTTCCATTAGTGTAACTGCTTCTGTAGCTGATATAAGTTCTCTATCTGTCTATATTTCTGAGATGTGGTATTATGTACACTATTTATTTATTCATTTACTCAAGGACACATGGCACAGTGGATAAAGGCGTTAGTTAGATCCAGTGACAGGACCCAAAGATTGTGAGTTCAATACCTGCTTAAGGTAGTGGAGAACTTGGGGAGGGGAATTAACAGGAGATAACTGACATCCATTAAACATGGCACATGGAACTAGAACAGTCTTCCCTAGTGAGCAAAGGTTCAGTTCGACATTCCAACCACCTGAAGAAGGGCAGAGCGAAATGTTGTAATAAATATGGTGACAAAGATAAGGGCAATAGTCCGAATAATGTAAATAGTGGATATAGGTTCTGTATCTAACTTTTTTCACTATTAGAATTGTTTTGAAATCCTCACAGTATTTAGTATTGTTGAATATATCACTAACATTTTTTGTCAAGATTTACAAAATCTACATTTCATTCAATTTCACAAACCAAGTGATGAAATTCTTTTGGAAAAATATTTTGATAAAAACCCTACTTTGCGGTTTAATAATTTCTTTGATTTAATTTTATAGGACTTCATGGTAAACAATATTTTTTAAGAAAATTTATTTTTTTCCTTTTTAAGAGCAAAGAATAAATTCTTAGGATTTCTTACTCTTGAGCATGCAACATACAACTGGCCATGTGTAAATATTTCTTCCTGGAGCTAAATTCCAACTTTTTTAAGTGTTTGGCTTTGTGATTTCTTTATAGTTCTCACAAATGCAGGGCAAACTGGAAACTGGATTCTTGTATATATAAAAACTTAAAGAAAAGATATACAAAAAACAATATTGCATCTTTATTAAATAAGTATTTGTTATTTTAATCATTAAATTGTTTTTAAAATAGTGTGAGTATCTTTTATATTAAATAATAAAAGTTTTAATTTTTCAAAAAAAAAAAAAATGAAGGAAAATTATTGTACTAAGATATCCACCCTAGTAAAATCAACTGTACCTTGTACCCTCTTAGCTGTTTGCACTTCACATCAAAAATTAGTTTCAATTGGTTAATGTATTGCTATTTTAGAGGGTGTGATGAACACATGGATAGAATAATGGAAGTCACAGAATTTTATATGTAGAAAAATAATGTTGGATGTAAAGAAAAATCCATTAAAAAATTTTCACTTGTTTATGTTTCAGGTATGAGACTGAATCTACCAGATATAGATTTGTACAAGTTTCAACAAGAAATGTGCATTCCTCAAAATAGATAATACAAAACTTACTCTATCAATGTCAATCCCCTCTACCTCATGGCCAAATTGGTAAAGGAATGTTTTGGTTATAGAAGCAGTATTGCTGTTGGAAAAGGGGATACAGGTTCAATTTCTGTCAGTGGTATAATCTTTCTTCATCAGTATTGACTATTTAGTCATCATCAATAGCATTAGCTATTCCACCACCATCAGCAATAAGATTAACTATTTCATCACCATCATCATCAATAGCATTTACTATTCCATCACCATCATCATCAATAGCATTTACTATTCCATCACCATCATCATCAATAGCATTTACTATTCCATCACCATCATCATCAAGAGCATTTACTATTCCATCGCCATCATCATCAAGAGCATTTACTATTCCATCGCCATCATCATCAAGAGCATTTACTATTCCATCACGATCATCATCAATAGCATTTACTATTCCATCGCCATCATCATCAATAGCATTTACTATTCCATCACCATCATCAGCATTTACTATTCCATCACCATCACCATCATCAGCATCCATCGCCATCACCATCAAGAGCATTTACTATTCCATCGCCATCATCATCATATGCATTTACTATTCCATCGCCATCATCATCAAGAGCATTTACTATTCCATCGCCATTATTATCATTAACTATTCCATCACATCATTATTATCAACTTTACATGATAAACACTTAATTTGAAATTTATTGACTTGAAATTATCATTTTTAATAATTCATTTTAAATAGAGAATTTGAAATAAAACTAACCACAGGCAAGAACATTATCCATGATTATAATAAATGTTTTCTTTTAAATGTGATAAACCACAAAGTTGAGATAATTTCAAGCTTTTAAAATGCATATTTATATCCAACAGGGAAGCACCTGGTTTGACTGTCTACCTCAATGATATGAGCATTTATTAGGGAAACCAATTAAGTCAGTCAATCTACAGCATCTGAACAATTATAGTGTAATTTATCACTCAGTTTTAATAAGAGTAATGATGAACAACGTGTAAGGTTAGCCCAGAAGCCATCTCTACAAATGCCACAATTTGTTTTGGGTAGAGTCGCTGACGCAGGTGAAGAGGATAGCAGCCTGGTAGATTTATCATGTCCTCCATGACAATAAAGTTGGTTTGGTTGACAGGGAAAAACATAATCTGTACCAGTCAATCATGGCTTCTGACAGGGCTCAATTGTTAGCAAGGAGACTGTCACATGCACACAGGTTAGGGTCTGGAATGGACATGGCGGGAGAGAGAGACGTAATATGAGACAGTGAAATAGAGATGGATATAGAAAGACAGAGAGTGTGATCAAAAGGATTGCGGTGGAGAAGAAAAGAGACAGACAGAAATATAGACATATAATGTGAAACAAAGAGACGCTGAAGTTGACGTATAGAAAAGCCAAGAAAGAGACTAAAAGGATTGTGATAGCAAAACAGAAATAGACAGAAACAGTGATAGACATGCAATATGAGGCAGAGAGAGAGACAATGAAGTTGACAGTGAAATAGAGAGTGAGATAGAGAAATAGACATATTTATAATGAGGTAGACAGGGATAGACATATAATGAGAGGTGGAAAGACAGTGTATGTGACAGAGAAATAGACATATTTATAGTGAGGTAGACAGGGATAGACATATAATGAGAGGCGGAAAGACAGTGTATGTGACAGAGAGATAGAAAAATAGACATATTTATAGTGAGGTAGACAGGTATAGACATGTAATGAGAGGCGGAGAGACAGTGTATATGACAGAGAGATAGAGAAATAGACATATTTATAGTGAGGTAGACAGGGATAGACATGTAATGAGAGGCGGAAAGACAGTGTATATGACAGAGAGATAGAGAAATAGACATATTTATAGTGAGGTAGACAGGTATAGACATGTAATGAGAGGCGGAGAGACAGTGTATGTGACAGAGAAATAGAGAAATAGACATAGTTATAGTGAGGTAGACAGGGATAGACATATAATGAGAGGCGGAGAGACAGTGTATATGACAGAGAGATAGAGAAATAGACATATTTATAGTGAGCCAAGCAAAGATAGACATACAATGTGAAGCAGAGAGACAGTGTATGTGACAGAGAAATAGACATATGCAGTAAAATACAGAGTGACATACATATGTCTATATTACGGAGAAGAGGTATTGTAACTATTTACACTATTTGGACTGTTGGATTTACTAGTCATTGGAGATCACATGAGATTTGGCAGTCTAATGCTGACTGTGTAAATAACCCTCCTGACAGATTTGCAGGGTATTTATGTCAGTTTTGTAATAAAATTTGCAGGTTTGCCACTGAGATGAAATTGCACAGGAGAGTGCATGAAAAGAAAGTCACTTTCAAGACTTTCCAAAAGTCTTTTGTATGTCACATTTATAAAAAGGTACACATAAACAACATTGGTTTGCAAAGTCATCTATATTTTTTTTTTTGCTTACTGATTCCTTTTTTTTTATTTCTCCAGACATGTGATGGTGCTTTGAAGCAAAAGACTGAATTTGTTGCAAAATTAGAAGAGAAAACCGAACAATTAGTAAATAGCTTGAAAGAAATGGAGAAACGGTGAGTGTTGCTATGTTTTTTGTTTTTTTTTATGTTTATTGCATGATTCACTGTTGTTTTTAGTTGCTTCCTTAAAATTCCTTAAATGTTGAATCATAAAAATATCTTTGTTGTATTTTGTTTGTTTGTTTTTTTTTTACCAGTCTCAACATTTTATTATTGATATTTGCAAATTTTGTTGAACATGTCACCATAAAGGAAGAAAAGGAACTTTTGGAAAATTGTATATTTCCAATGTTTTTTCAGTTAAGGAAAACTTGGTAGTTTTGAACAACTTCGTTTCTAGTTTTGAATGTCAATCTGGAGTGTGAGTGGATAAATTTGGTGGGTGGGGGTATTTTGTTTTTTTATCTGACCTCATATTTCTGGAATGTCTTTTTTCTAAATACTTGACAGTCACTCAGAGTTTTTAGAAAATAAAAAAATAGTAGTAACTTTAAAAAAAAAAAAATTTTATCAACTAAAACCCAAAACATTGAAAAGGCAGAAAATAATAAAAAAAAATTTTTTCTATTTTTATTCTGTTAATTTTTTTTATCAACTAAATGCTGAAATCTGAAGCAGCAAAGTTATTTTTTTGGTTTGATCTTAAATTTTTAAAAACTTTTGACAGCATTATAACTTCTTCAAAATACATAAATTTTTAAATTCATTTATGCTTCAAATATTTTTTTCAGGCATTTTTTTTCTCTTTTGGAAACAAAATAATAAAAAGATAATGAATCTTGTATTTAAAGCATAGACAGGCACAAGGATACATCTACAGAACTCCTAGTGAAGCTCAAACTTTACATCAGTAACAGTCTGCAATACTAACTTGCTAAACATTGCTCCAAAGTGAGATACCATCGGCTCTTCCCTGCAAAAATTTGTCTACTTAGTCATCAATGCCATCAGCATAAAGTAAATGATCAGAAAAGAAGAAATTAAAATCTTGGATACAAGTTAAAGCTGTTGATGATATATGCATATAAAATGAATTATTATATATTTGTATATGCTAGTATGGAGGTATTTCATCAAAGATATATATTTGTTATTTCTCACTAAGATATTATGTAACTGTTATACATAATATCTCTGCTTTGTAGGATCTGTCACTTATTTGACTTCATTTAGCAAGAATTCTACTGTTCTAAGATCCTTGCAAGAAATGACAAAGGTCTGTTGTTTATCTGGCCTCCGGCGAGTTGACATCTTAGAAATGAGGACTTTGTTTCCATGTTTTTCTGATGACAGCAAGTAATCTGGTTAAACTATTTCATAAGAATATTGAAAAGCAAATTTGCAAACAACTTGTTGACATAATAACAACTGTAACTTGTCTTAGTGATGGCATAGTGGTTAAATTCAAGGTCTGAATGTTATGAGGTACAGGAGATCCCCTTGATCATGACCAAAATTTCCTGGGAATTGTTTTTAAGTCCATATGGTTGGAACTATGCAATAATAAAGATATTTATAATCTTAGTGACTTTTCCTTACTGGTTGGTATTAAATGTTGTAATATCCTAGGTATGATGATAAACTACATCCTCTGATTGGGAGGTTTTGAGGAGGGTGGAAACTACCTCTTAATTGCTGGTGTTTCCAGGTAGATCCTGACCTGGGGTGGTAGCACCTGTTAGGGTCTTAACTATTGGCAAATAGTTAACTCCTAAACTGGGATCAAAACATTATGAAAGTATAAAAATCTATTTTTATAGTAAAAATATCGGCAATACATTTTTTGGGCGGGAGGGGGAATATTACCAGCAATACATTTGACTCTCAAGTAAAACTCTCTTTACAAAAATACATCAATGAAACCTAATCTACAAACTGATTTCTTACAAAAAATATATATTTTCTTCATATGAACCTATCCTAAAAATCTTGTCGGCATTAAATAATCCATTGAGATGTTGATATGCCATAAAACAAAACAATCCAAACTAAATGTTGCAGAAGAAATGGTAATGGTAATATTATGTGTTTCCTTATAAGGAAACATTTGTCATTCATTGACTGAGCAACCAATACCATTTTTGGTTGAAATCCATAAAATCTTTCTCTCAAAACAATTTTTTTTAGGAAAATAAGTTTTTCAAATTCCCTAACTGCTATCACTCTTTCCAGTTTTGATGGTAGCTTCCTTTTTAACCTTTTGTATAAAGTACTGTTGAATGTCAACATCTTGATTATACCATAATTTACTCCGAGTTACATGTGAAATCCATTTTAATTTTTGCTGTTGTTGAAAATCCTCAAGTAATGTGGTTTCTGCTATTCGATACAGTTCCTTGTGATTCTGTAGCGCCAGTCCATAAGGCTCAAGGTCCATGCCATGACCAGCAGGTTTTATTTGCTCAAAGACATTTTTAACCATTAATTTGAAAAAGCAGAGAAAACTATTTGTTCACATAAAAGAAATTTTAATGATTTTTGTTTCTAACACTTTCTGAGGAAGGTGGGCTTGGAAAATTTAGCCCTCACATGGCTAATCAAGGACAAGAGAGATAGAGGAAGGCAGAGGGACCCCTATCTAACAAGCTTGTGTGAATGAATAGTAGAATGGGGTTGGAGGTATGAGAAGCCTGGCAAAAAGAGAAACGCTATTAAGAGCCACAAGAGTAAGCTTTGCTATTTAATGTCTAGTTATATTTTTTTTTAATTATTTCACCCAAAGCAAGGTAATATAGCCACTAAGATGCAAGGTGTTATTTATTGTGAAAGAATATAAGAAAAAGAAAAACATTATTAAGGAAAGAAAACAATAAATGAACTGGAATTAAGAAGACAAAAGATAATGATTGACATTGCATTTAAATTTTTGAAGACCAAACTCGACCGGGGAAACAAGAAGCCAAAAGAGCGTTCCACAAATGTGAAGTGCGATACAAGAAACTGTTAAGGTTTGTTTGTTTGTTTGTTTGTTTAGCGGCATATCAATGACTTATGGGTCATTTAATGCTGAAATTTAATTTTCTTGGAAGCATTAGTAATTTCATTTACAAAAATGTATTACAGGTAATTTATTTTTCAAAAATTTATTGCTGGTATTTTTACTATGAAAATATATTTTCATACTTTCATAGTGTTTTGACCCCAGTTTGGAGGTTAATTATTTGCCCATAGCTAAGACCCTAACAGGTACTACCACTGTGGCTTAGGGTGGACCTAGAAACAAGTGAGAAGTGTGAGAAAAGAAACTGTTAGCATAGAACTTAACAATTACATCTAGCAATTTCAAATGTAAAATGATGAGACCTAGCTGCCAATCTAGTACTGCACTTTGTAAAGTCGAGGTACCAAAGAGGAAAGCTTATCAGAACAGTTACCATGAAAATACTTATAAAAAAAAAAAATAAGGCACAGTGAAGCTATGGTACGGATTTTGGAAAAGTGACTGTGCCAAGATGCCAGTTCAGGACTGATAGCATTGCAGACTTTTCTTTGGATTTTGTCAAGAATCTCTAAATATATTACAGAAGCACCAGGCCAGAGGTGGCAGCAATATTCAATACATTGAATACATTCCTTTCCCATGGGTATTTGGATGGAAGTGAATGCAGACTCGGTCCGAATATAGCTACCGTATAGATTGCCCCAAAGAGCTCAAGAACTCATTTCTGATTACGTATTGTTGAAATAGCAATAATAAATACACATGGGAAATTTCTATAAATTGAGACACCTGACCTTTCACTTTTTGAATAGTTGAAGGTAGAAAACGTTTTCAGGCAGTTCGTCCTGATTTGCAAATAAGAACATTAAAGCCAACATAGCCGTAAGGAACCAATTATCCTTTCACCTGGCCCTTGCTCAGGCTGCACGACTGTTTTCATTGGCAGCATTCATGATGTCCCTGGTTGTCTTTATATCTTGACCATGTTTCTTTCATCAGATTGTTTATACCCACCTCAATAATCAAAATGTTTCATCAGCTGTACTGTATAACACAAAGTAGACAGACCTCCAGGGAAATTTGTTGTTGTCAATTGCAGAACATTGTCTCCGTTCTTTCTTTTTTTTCTTATTGTATAGCTCTGTGGTAGAGGATTGGATTTTAACTTTTAAGATCTACAGTTAGGTATAGACATCACAATCACAAGTCCTGTGAGTTATAGGGGCACTATATGCAGTGCAGCTGTAACATCAGAGGGTGTGTCTAGAGCAAGATAGCCTGATAAAAGCCATCCTTCTTAAGGCAGTTTTTTTTTTTTTTTTTTTTTAATCATTTCACCCCAAGCAAGGCAATAATGCCACTTGGATAGAAGGGGTTACTGACAGTGAAAGAGAATGAGAAGACTTTATTAAGGAGAAAGGACAATAAAAGAACAGGTTTCAGGAAAACAGAAGAGAGTGATTGGTCTTGTATTTAAAATTTTGAAGAGTGTAGTTGGCAGGGAAGCAAGAAATTAGAAGGGATTTCCACAGGCAAAAAGTGTGAGAAAAAAAGCTGTTAGAATAGAACATACAGTTGCATTTAATTAGTTCAAAAGTAAAATGACAAGACCTGGTTACCAATCTTGTAGCACGCTTAAATTCATGCAGTCAAGGCAAGAAGGAGAAAAGCTCATCAGAAGAATTATCGTAAAAATATTTGTAGAAAAGGCACTGAGGAAAGCCACATTACAGCAGTGAGAAAGTGACTGTAGCCAAGATGCCAGGTCAGGACTGATAACATTACAGACCCTTCTTTGGATTTTGTCAGGAATCTTGAGATATATAGCCAGAACACCTGACCAGATATATTATCATTATTATATTCAATGCATGGGTGAATGGTAGATTTATAAATCTGGAAGTTGGATTCTGATGAGAAAACTTGTCTGGTACAACATGGTGAACTAACTTAAATTCATTCATAAAGTCAAGGCACCAAGCATGAATGTTCATCAATACAATTGCATGAAAATTAATTCAGAATTGTCCTTCTCCTAGATTGGTTGCCTTAGCAAGACTAAAGAGCTCAGTTTGTCTTGCTGTTATGGCAATTTACAAATATTAAAAAAAAGAAACCATCATAAGCCATGATTACCTGTATCCTGAAGGAACACGGCATTTAACAGAACGTTTAGGGTTGATTTTGATGCTTTACCCTCCCTCTTTTGTTTATTTTTTTACCATCTATTTGCAAAAACTCTTTAGGTTCGGTTTATTTTGTTTTACAGCATATCAACACCTCAATGGGTTATTTAATGCCGACAAGATTTTTAGGATAGGTTCATATGAATAGAATATGTATTCTTTGTAAGCAATCAGTTTTGTAGATCAGGTTTCATATTTTTATAAAGAGTGTTTTTGTGGAGAATCAAATATATTGTTGGTAATATTTTTTTTCTTCAAAAATGTAATGCTGGTAATATTTTTTTTTTTTTTTTTGCTGGTATTAAAACTTATTTTTACATTTTCATAATGTTTTGAACCCAGTTTGGGGGTTAACTATTTGCCCATAGCTGGGACCTGAACAGGTGCTACAATCCCAGGTCAGGATGAACCTGTGAACACCTGCAATTAAGAGGTAGTTCCATGCTTTTCAAAACCTCCTCATCAGAGGCCTTGCTGTTTATTGTCTTACCTAGGATGCCAGATGTAGTTTATACAAACTCTTTAAGAAACCAATTCTTGTCTTTCATCATCAACAAATGTCCACTTGACCGATTCCCATTCAACATACATTCAGTCAAATGCTGAATAATGACAAGAAAAAAGATTATTATGATTTGCGGGTGGAGCTGCAACTTCAAGAGAACTCAAATGACTACAAAATAAATAATGTAAAATAATCATAAAAGTATTTAAAACTATTTTCTAAAATAATTAGATAATTGATTAATAATTAGAAAATTGATTAATATCATTACATTCAAATTTTTTTTAACTGCCTGATTTCAGGATTGGTGGGACATTATCACTTTCCCCCTCAGTCTCATTATCTTGTTGGGTGGTAAGACAACCCCCTATCCTTATTTCAGCAATTTAAAAAAAAAAAAATGATTTGTTGGATAGTATATTAAATGTTACCTGAACCTCCTCCATGTTCTCTATTTCATGTTTCAGACATTTTGAAAATTATTATTGACAGGAAAGAAAGAAACTGGAAAAGACTTCTGCAAGGGATAAGTGCAAGTGCAAGTGAAGAATGCAATGCCAACCGTTATCTTCTGTCTTATTATCTGTTCTTGTATTGTTCTCTCTCTTTAATAGTGTTTTGTTTTTCTTATATTCTTTCACACTCAGTAACCCTTTGTGTCTTAGTGGCTTCGTTGCCTTGCTTCCAGTGAAATGAATAAAAAAAAAACTATTAGAATAAAACTTACAATTACATTTAGCAAATTCAGCAATAAAATGATGAGACTTAATTGCCAATCTAGTACTGCGCTTATATTCATGAAGTTGAGCTATCAAAGAGGAAATCTCATCAGAACAATTGTCATGAAAATATTGTAGGAAAGCCTCACAGAAGCTATGTTATAGTGGTGGGAAAATGATTGAAGCCAAGATACCAGGTCAGGATCAATAATATTGCAGATTCTTCTTTTGTGGGTGTTAAATTCTCCAGACCTTCTTTCCTTATGTATCTGACCGATTTCAACTGATTCTTTCCTTATAGTTCCAATTTCCCTTAAAACTTGAATGTGAAAACTCTTATCCAAATAAATCTGTTTATAATAAATCTTGCAATATTAATAACTATTTTCAAAGTTACATTTTTACAGCAAAATGACCAACAATGCATTTTTATAGAAAATGACTGACAATTCATTTTCATCAAAAAATGACTGACAATGCATTTTTATAGAAAAATGGTCAACAATACAGTTTTATAATAAAATGACAATTGATATTTTATAGTAAAATTGAAGACATGGCATACATTGTCAAAAAAATAAAAAAAATTTCTATGAATAATCTTGTAAGTAGGAAGAAGTTTTCACTCCTCAATTTTATTTTGTAAGATTATTTATTTAAAAATATGAAGCTAAATGATTATAATTTAATCATGAAATAATGTCATTTTCTTGAATTAATTATTAAGTTTATTTTCATATTTAGATTTTGGTATTAAATAACCCATACAGGTTGATATGCCGCTAAACAAAAACAACCATACCAATGAAAAAACTAATCTAAATAAATCAGTTGTTAATAAATCTTGCAATGTTAATGACTAATCTCAAAATTAGAGATGATATGAAATCCTGATTTTGAGATTTCAAATTACTTGAGAGATGGCATCTTGAAACACCTGCCTTTGCAAATAAAACAGTACTTAGAAATACATGGCTACTATAAATTCTGATGACATCTCAATTTAGTTTTTGACAAGTGGTGAATTTTTTATTATCTGTTTGTTTTAGTGCCTTACATGTTGGAATTGCAGCCATAAAAATCCAGAGCTTTATCTAATTAGTCCAAATCATCTCTTGGTACGGATGGAATAAATTTTCAAGCAATATTTGTTGTTGTTGCAAAGAAAGAAAGAAAGAAAGAAAGAAATAAAACCAAACCCTGATTTACTAAACATGTGACAAGTGTCTGAAGTTTGGAGATTAATGTTATTCATTATACCACACACTTTTAGGACTATTGTTGTTTTTATTGCAACCTTTTCATATTGATTCCATAACAAATTGAACAGAAAATTTGAAGAATCTGTTGTAAAAATATTTTTTTAAAAATTGAAGCCATTCTCTAAAGTTCTTACAAAAAGGATTTTAATTCACCCACACAGACGAGTATCTTCATCTTTATTTTATCAATCGAGATCAAGGGTTATTGAATGAGGTTGTTGCATGAGCATTAAGAGGAGGAGGTAAGGAGTGCAGATGATGATGAAAGAAAGATAATGGTTAACCTTAGACTTGACGAGGTTAAGATTGTAGTGATCGGGGAAGCATCCTCTCGGGAGTCTGTTCCACAAAGTAGCAGTTCTGGGGGAAGAAGCTGTCCAAATGGAACTTCCTCCTTACTAGTGGTTGATTGATTGATTTTGCATTTTACAGTTTATCAACCCTCTGTGGATAAGGCTTACATTGAAACACTGGTTCCTGTATGATCACCAAAGTTAAGCAACATTGAGCCTGGTCTGTACCTAGATGGGTGACCATTTGGGGAATACCAGGTGTTTTAAGCTTGGATGTGCACAGGGTGTATAATGGCTCAAAATTGTTAACTGGAGAGCTGTTCCAATTCATTATATTCACTTTTATGTGCAAATACCTTTGGGGAAAGTATGAATCCACCTTTTCTTCCCCCAGGTATATGTAAATTAGTAAGAACCATTATTATCCCTCCCCATAATTCTTACAATCTAAAAATATTTTCTGGCTTTAAATATCCTGCAAAAGGTTGATAAGTCATAAAAAACTAATCAATCAATCAACATGGGGTGTTCTTGCTTCTTAATAATGCTTCTCTTTTTTTCTCATTCTCTAACACTCAGTAATCCCTTGTATCTTAGTAGCTCTATTGCCTTGCATGGGGTGAGATGATTACAAAAATGTATGAAAACATATCTGGAAATGGCCTTGAGGGTACAACATCTGAAACATTGTTAGGAAACAATCAAGATGACGTTGTTGGTCTGAATACTAAAGTACATTGTAATATAGTAAAAACTCTAAATAAAAGCTTATGAAGCTTTATTTGATTTCATTCTGCTAAAGTGCTGAAGAATATTTATTTTATTGCAATGGATGGCTACAAGCTAGTGGGGAGATAGGATATCCTTATTTTATTACCACACATATCTTACTAATTGACCCACAACTGGGGAAAGTTATAGATTCATAGATTTTGATAAACAAATAAGAAACTATGTGTACATAAGATGGGGGATCAATTTTATATTACAATCAATATATAAATTGATCCCTCACTTTATGGCCATGGTAGTTTCTAGACCTTTATATTCCCGAGAATGTAATTAAATCTAAAAGACATACCTGTGTAGCTAATCAGTATTTGACTGATTGGTTTGTTCATTCATTTTCTACAGCTTATCAACCTTTTGCAGGTTATTTAATGCCAAAAAATATTTTAGATTGTAAGAATATTTTTTTGAGATAGTAATGATTTAGTAATACAAGTTTTACTAATTAATCCATAGATGGGGGAGAAGAGATAGATTCATATCTAATCAGAATTTGATAAACAAAAAAGAAATCATAATGTGAACATAAATTGGGGGATCAATTCTATATTACAATCAATATAAAAACGGATCCCTCATTTTGTGGCCACGATAGTTTCTATAACTATATTCCAGAGAATGTAAATAAATCTAAGACATGCCTGTGTAGCTAATCAGAATTTCATTGATTGATTCATTCATTTTCTATGGCTTATCAATAAACAAGAAATTATAAGGTGGATATAAAGTGGGAGATCAATTCTATATTACAATCAATATATAAACTGATCCCTCACTTTATGGACACGGTAGTTTATATACATTTATATACCAGAGAATGTAAATAAATCTAAAAGACATGCCTGTGTAGCTAATCAGTATTTAATTGATTGATTGGTTTGTTCATTCATTTTCTACAGTTTATCAACCAACAAAAAGAGAATCAGTCAAATAAATTGTAATATAGTAACAACTCTAAGTAGAGGCTTATGAAGCTTTATTAGATTCATTCTGCTTTAGTGCTGAAAAATGTTTATTTTATTGTGGTGGATGGTTACAAGCAAGTGGGGAGATGGGATGTGCTTATTTTATTACAACACATAATTGATAATTCATTAACTTCAAAATTTTAACAAATGTTAATGAAAATTTATTTACCAGTGTTTAGGTTTACTGGGAGCCAAATCAATAATCAATACTTATTTTTAATTTTTGTCTATTAATTAATTCTGTTTATCATATCTTCAGAAAACTTATAAAACAATGCTGTTGTAAGTGTTTCATTTTTTATAATACCTGGTGTAATTTTAAATTTTTAAGCAGGAACAAAAAAATTTATTTCAAAACTAACAAAATTTCAAGAGGTTAACAATTATTACTCTGTACTGTTCAATTTGAAGATGTTGATTTTAATGAGGCATATCCAGATTTTTTTTGTTTATTTGAGAGTTTCTTATCTTTTCTGCATAGAACTATTTTCCAGCTTCTTGCTCTCCAGTCAAGTTTGATCTTCAGAAATTTAAATGCAATCGTTATCTCCTGTCTTTTTAATTCCTCTTCTTTTATTGTTCACCTTAATAATGTTTTGTCATATTCTTTCACACTCAGTAACCACTTGCATCTTGGTGGCTTTTTTGTCTTGCTTGGGGTGAAATGAGTTGTAATACTAGAGAAAATGGCTTATCTCCTGGACGAAAATGGCTTCAGATGTGTCTCGCATGTAAAATATTCCCAAAAAGAAGATGGCGGCTTTACGAGTCGTATATTTAAAAAAGACAGATCCCAGAGTTGGATTCTTTTGTAAAAATTTCTTTCCACCTACACAAATTTGAAGTGTTGCTAAATTTATAAAAAGTGCTTCAAGAGGTGACAGAAAGAGTACAACTGCAGTAACAAACAGGAGACATTGTTTGATTTTTTTTTTTTTTTTTTCTTTTTTTAATCATTTCACCCCAAGCAAGGTAGGAGTGCCACTAATATGTAGGGGGGTTACATAAAGTGAAAGTGAGAGAAAAGACTGGGTAGGGGGGGGTATGTTGAGGAAAAGATAAAAGATGAACGTGGTTCAAATCAACAGAAGATGGCAATTGACGTTGCATTTAAATTTTTGAAGATTGTAGTTATCAGGGAAGCAAGGAAACAGAAGGGAGTTCCACTGTCAGGAAGTGTGAGAAAAGAAGCTGTTAGAGTAGAAGTGGCAGTTACATTTAACTATTTCAACAGTAAAATGGTGGGATTTAGTTACCAATCTAGTAACATGCTTAAATTCATGTAGTCAGGGCACCGGTGGGGGAAAAAAGTTCATCAGAACAGTTGCCATGAAAATACTTGTAGAAAAGACAGAGGGAAGCCCCATTATGTCGGTGTGAAAGTGACTGTTTTTATTCCCTCTTGTATATAAACCCAAGTGAAAATCTTACTCCCCCACCTCATTATCAATCTGTAACATGAATTTCTTTTCAAATTATTTTAAAATATTTTCTTATAATAATAAGTCTTTTGTTAACGAGTTATCTGATTGGAAGGGTGAAGATTTTGAGGAGCATGGAACCACCTCTTAATTGCTATTGTTCCCACGTCCACCATAACCTGGGGTGGTAGCACCTGTTAGGGTTCCAGCTATGGGAAAATAGTGAACTCCCAAACAAAACCCTATGAAAGTATAAAAATACATTTAGTAAAAATATTAACAGTACTTTGTTGTTTTTATCACGTTTTGATTGTTATACCCTTTGGCCTTCCTCAGATGTGTATAAGAAGACTAGAGGGTATAATGGTGAAACGTGATAAAAACAACAAAGATGAGGACAATAGTCTGAATATAAATAGTGTAAATAATGATAACAGCTCTTTCCAGAAATTCAGAAAAATATTTTTGATTTTGCATTGTTTTGGGAATCTTCAGTTTGTAAAAGTTTTGCTTACAAAATGTCAGTTCTTTGTCAAAATTTGACAAGGCAAACTTTAAAGATCAGCCTTGTTTTATGTTTCTTTTTTATTGATGAATAAAAAAAATGGATTATTTGGTTTGATATTTGTGAAAAAGGAGGGTGGGTTATTAAAAGTGGGAAAATGCAAGTTTGCATTTTGTGTGTGTTGTGTTCAGGGATTTTAATCTTACACATACAGATATACAGTTAAAAAAATTTTGAACCTTTTCTTTTATTTGATAATGCTCTTTTATGTTAACATCTCTCTCTCTCTCTCTCTCTCTCTCACACACATACACAAATTAAGTAAATAATAAACAAATTAATAAACTACAGAAACATGCATAAACACAAGTAAACATAATAATAACAATCAACAAAGCAATCAATAATAAATTTAACAAACAACACTATAAAATAGCCACAAAACTGCATTTGGATCCACAATTATTTCCACTCAATATCCTCTAGAATAATTTGAAGCATATCTGTTACTGACCACCCTTTAACCATTAGAAAATACAATAGACCTAACCATAATGCATCACTGACCAGCATATATAAGTAGTCAAAGCAAAATGCAAAGCACATGGGTTGATAATTATATTTAAGCATGAAACAGGCTGTCACTGTTGAGTATTGACCTCAATGTCTATGTAAGGCAATCTGGAATTTGTTGAGAATTTTGGGATCAGCACACCTTCAATGCATTTAAGAAAATGCATTGAAAGTGATTTCCTTACATACAGGTTTGTCTTTCATTCTGAATTGCTGACACCTACCTATTACATGGAGGTGAAATGTGTTGTCTATAAAAAGCTGTTCCATTTTTGTCTCATTATCTCTCTCTCTCTACACATACATATGCACTCATAGATACAAAATACCTATTTAAAGTAAATTTAAAAAAATGAAAAATCTTTCTTGAAGCTTTTATTCTCATTTTAATTTCAAGTTAATAGATTAAATTTAATATTTCCAATAAGCAAAATACTTTGCCATATTTCAAAACTAATTTAAAATGACTGGAAGGAGTCTTTGTTTTGAAATTGCTAAGCATTGCTTTTAGACATCTTTCATTACAATATAATTCTCTTTATTAAAAACTCTTTCAAAAATGAAATATACTTTCCTGTAACTTTATTTGAGGAATATTAGGAGTTGACATGTTGACAGTTTGAATGACAGACAAGTTTATCTAATGTTTTTCTATGGTGGATATATCAGTAAAATTTAGTTGAAGAATATAATGTGAGTGCCTTTTTTTAACTACTTAGTAATTTTAAAAAATTAGGAAAATATTCTGTATAATCTAATGTTTTATTGAATTTTAGGTACTTTGGCTTTAAATTTACTATAGTTATGGGTCTAATTTTCTGATAATGTTGTGTATGGATGTCTGTATTTGCAAAAATCAGCACATTTATACATACAAAAAAAAATTCTTTTTAAAATATTGAGCATCAATATATGATTACTAAATATGTTTTTTACTTAATAAAAATATCACCTAAAAAGGACAAAGTAATTCAGAAATTTAAAAAGTTTAAAACTTTATCAATTGT